CTCTCATGCTACATAACTAAGCTCCATTTCATGCTGAATAAACTAAATTATTAATGTATCTTAAATAGAAAACTCTCTTTAGTTTACACCAAAAGCATTTTATTATAATAAATCTGATAGAAATTAAAATAAAAATCTGATTTTAAAAAATCATCGATTTTTATCCATCCGGTGCAATGACTAAGTAAATGTACACAAATTAGGGAAAAGGTATTCTAACTAAATGAGTAAAATTGTGCTGGATTCTGATGTCTGGCACAAAAATAAAATGGAACTAAGAGAGCAACATAGGAAAAGAAGAGGCTATCATCAGTTCAAAGCAAAACATCAAAGTAAAGATCTCAAAAAAGGGATTTTTTTTTAATAATTAAGAAGAATGTAGTATCGAATACAGTCGTATTTGTCATGATTCTACATTACATAACATTATGACAAGAAAGTTACACGGTTACTAAAAAGGACATAGCTTCTTTTCAAGACAGTTGGAGGAAGCATTACCAAACTCAGGGTTTTTTTCATGCCATTATTATCATGCCTTAGTAATGGAATTTCATAAGGGATCTAGAAAACATCCTTTCTGTTTTCCTCTACCCTGTCATTAGTTATTTTCTTTCACAGCAAATCCTTTAAGGAAGAAAAAAAATGAAATAGCTGCACAATACTTTTCAGTTGATAGCATTTGCAGCCTTGTGCCTCGAAGCATCTGAGAGTCCAGCGTTTTGCAGCTGTTACCATGCTGTGAAACATTCAACCTTCCAATATAATTACAATATTCAGATGAATGCAAGAAAGGCCTCTTATTTATTTATAATCAGTAATGTACATGTGTTACCGCAATCATATGAGCATAGATACCCTGTTTCCCTGAAAATAAGACTTTCCTGGATAATAAGCCCAATCAGGCTTTTGAGCATATGCGCTAAAATAATCCCTCCACCAAAAATAAGTCCTCCCTGAAAATATTACAACATAGCAACAGCCATGAGGTGGCCACAGTTGCTGCCTCCTACACCTCAAAAATAATAAGACCTGCCTGAAAATAAGGCCAAGTGCTTATTTTGGGGGTCAAAAGAATATANTCCCCAATAACAAACTATTGCTCTGAGAGTTAGCTCACCATCCTAGCTGTAGCAAGCTGATGTAGGTGATTAAGTAAACATTTAATACTCTGTCCTTAAAGCAGTATATATTTTTATGTGACAGCACTGAAGAAATGATGCTTGGCTACAATGTAAAGTAGTCAGTATATAGCTTGTATAACAGTGCAAATGTGCTGTCCCCTCAAAATAACGCAACTCACAGCCATTAATGTATAAACTGCTAGCAACAAAAGTGAGTACACACCTAAGTGATAATGTTCAAATGGGGTCCAAAGTGTCAATATTTTGCGTGGCCACCATTATTTTCCAACACTGCCTTAACCCTCTTGAGCATAGAGTTCCCAAGAGCGTCACAGATTGACACTGGAGTACATATCCTTATGGCATATCTCATTGTTATTACATATAATTTGGAGAATAGACATAATTGGAGTATCATGGAATTCATTCATCTCACCCCGAATTTATTATAAGGTAATACATTATAAAGAATGAATAAAATATATTGTCAATGTATCTACTTTAACATGATGATAGATTATAGAGTGAATCTGAGAAAAGTTCAAGTATGTCCTAATCCAGTGATAGGTAACCTTTTTCTAAAGGTATGCCAAAACTGTATGTGTGCACCCGCTATCGCACATGCGTGCCCCCCACCTGCGCGAGTGCCCCCCACCTTTGCATGCATGAGCAACACCCCCCCATTGTGCATACGCAAGCGACCACCACAGGGGGGGATTTTCACCCTCCCCAGGCTCCGGAGGCTTTCCTGAATCCTGGTGAGGGTGAAAACGACTTCCCCCGGCCCTCCGTAAGGCTGAAAATCAGCTGGCTGGCATGTGCATGAGTGCTGGAGCTAAGGGCTGCCAAGGGCTGTTGTGCCAGTAAATATGACTCCACATGCCACCTGTGGCACGCGTGCCATAAGTTCATCATCATGGTCCTAATCCATATCCAAATGTATGTATAGTTGAGCTTTAAAAAATAAAATATTTGTGATCTGTAATTTACAGTTAATACGAAAGCAGAAAATGTGATTCATTAGACCTTTCCATGGGTTTCTGCACTGCAACCTGTAAGTACCTCATATATGTACATATGACTCCACCATATGAAGTTATAATTCATTTGGGTGAACTCACTATTTTCATATATAAAACAAATCATCTGATGCACCAAGCAGTGCAGATCGTTTGAGGAGTGCTTTGTTTGTGAATTGCCCCTCTGGATATATGGCTTGAAAGCAAGAAGAAGCCACAGCTGTTTCTAGTTTTGGTTGGATGCTTAAAGGCTCTCCCATTATAGGGTTTGCACAGTCAACCATAACAGTAAAATAAGATTATCTGAGTTTTCCCATTGTATTAGTTTTTCCTTGTATGATGAAAGGTATTTTATCTATAATCAAACTTAGTAAATTTGACTTTATTCAGATTAATTCTTTCCTACATATAATAAAAAAAGCCTTGGCATTAAATACAGCTCAGATATCACAGCAAATATGAACCTGCGTTGTAAAATTGTCTGATTTGTTATTAGTCAGGAAAGTGAAGAGTTCAGTATACGGACAGACACAAATACTTTTAACTCTTTTAAATTGAACTGTCATGAGCCATCTAGGGAGAATACGTCAGACAGCCAAGAGGGAATGAAGTTTTGAACAATACAATCAAAATTATAAGAATACTTGAAAAGTGAGGATGAACTATAAGCCACAAGCTTGTCGTACCAATGATTAAATGCAGGTCTAAAATAAATAAGATTCACTAATTTTTGGAGCAAAAAGGCTTTCTCCAAAAAAAAAAAAAAAAAAAGGCAGATTGTTATAAAGCAAAACTGGATAGGCTAAAAAGACATTGGCATTCTTCAATATTTAGTATCACTGTTTTACATTAACATTCATTTTGCAATATATTTTGCTTTAAATATATAGTTTTTAAATTTAAAAAAGTTTTTTTTTATTGTAGGCTGTGTTTAGTCAAGAGCTGATTACTTCAAATACTTAAAGGGGACACAGTGGGTGTAAAAGAACATTGAAATCTCACCTAAGACTAAGGAGCGTAGGGAATTCACATATTGTGTGAATTCACACATAAACATATAAAACACTGCAGTTAGTAGACATTAGGTTAGAAGAAAGAGAAGTCTCAGACAACAAAGAAAGGTGGAGATAGAGGAATACTAATTTTACCTTTCCTGAAGAGAAAGCCAAACCTCATTGTTTTGGATGAAAGAAGATTAAAATGTGACGGAGGTGTTGTTGCTAGAGTTTAAACCAGGGGTGAAATGCTACCAGTTTGGACCGGTTCAGCCGAACCAGTAGTAAAAAATGCCAGGTGAACCAGCAGCATTTTTTACTACTGGTTTGGTTCTGACGATCAGCATTACAACAATCAGCTATCCTGCACGATTTAGAAATCACACGGCACAACTGGTTGTCGCAAGGCTGATCGTCAGAACTACCGGTTCGTCTGAATCGGCAGCATTTTTTACTACCAGTTTGGGTGAACTGGTAGTTCCGACAATCAGCGCCTGCGATGTATATGTGTGCAAAGCACACATTTGGCGCGCATGTATGCACAAACCAAACCAGTAGCAGACTTCAGAACATTTCACCCCGGTTTAAACTGCTTGCTTCCATATGAAATTTTCAAAGGATTCCATTTAGTTACCTAGGAATTCTTTCTGGGAGGCTTCTAAGGATTCTACATAACTGATTCCACCTTACTTTGGAAGGGCTATGAAACAGAATCCTCTAAACTGTAAGGCAAAAGGAACTAAAGTATGGCTGAAAGATTTTGTCTCTGATAGAGAGGATGTTGGGTCAACCTGGAAGGAAATGGACTTCCAAGAAGACAAATGAGCAACAGAGCAAATAATGGCTGCATTGTATGATAAAGAGAAATCTACTGAAAGCCTGCTGACCTGGCTGGCTTTGGTCAGTGATGGAATGGGAAACAATTTGTAAAACAGAGTTCATTCTAAGAAAAAGAGGAAGAAATTGCCAAACTCATTGGCCCTACAATCTCTTGATGCAGATAGAATAATCTTGCATTTGTGCAATGGTTCTTGATAGGCTGTAACCACAGATGCAATATCTGTCCATTGGATGGCCACCCTGGCATGTCTGAGCTGATCAGCAGGGATGGTGTCATCCAGACATATGGATGGCAAGGATGAAAAATAGATCAATGCAAAATTGTAAAATGGGATACAAAAGGGATGGACTTTGCACCACTTTTTAAATATGTAACTACAACTGAATTGCCTCATGCAATCTCAATAGCCTGATCATGAAGACAATCTTGGAAAGCTATGAGGCCTTTCAAACTGCAAAGAGGTGGAGAGTATTACTTTGTTGAAATGTTGCCTACAGAAAGCACAATGGATGCAGAGGGCTCATTAAGAAAGTTCCCATTCTGAACACAAATCTATCAGTAAATGTTAAGAAAACTAAAATGCCCAATAAAATTGAATGAAATCAGTGGCCAGTGGAAGGATTTCTTTTACGTTGTGTAGAATTGAGGGGAAGTGATGTTTTATAACTGCCTCAGAGAAGTGAAGCAGAAGTACCACACCTGTAGGTGATAAATCTGACGGTGGATGGACCAAACAACTGAAGCTACAATTGCCATAGGTAAAGTAAAGGTTCACCTCGCACATATGTGCTAGTCGACTCCAGGGGGCGGTGCTCATCTCCATTTGAAAGCCAAAAAGGCAGCGTGTCCAAAGACATCTCTGTGGTCATGTGGCCGACTTAACTAAACACCGAAGGCACACGGAACGCTGTTACCTTCCTACTAAAGATGGTCCCTATTTTTCTACTTGCATTTTTACATGCTTTCAAACTGCTAGTGTCAGGCCTGAAGGTATATTCCTTTTAGGATTTTTGGTTTGCCACACTCTCTATTATTTCATTATGCTGTTTCATTAGTATAGTAATTGGGAGGGGGAATAGAAAGGAGTAGAATTGTGGAATGTGTTGTTGTCATTCCTTTCTAGAAGCTCAAGGTCATCTTTTGTTTCCGCACCTCTGCATCTGACCAGAACTAGATGGGTGGAAATGCCAGCGTGGCCGAAGAAGATTGGACCATATGATAATNTTTTTAACATTTTCTAATGGTGGTGTGCCTCGTGATTTCTTTCATGAAAAAAGTGTGCCTTTGCACAAAAAAGGTTGAAAAACACTGCTTTAGATGGCTTATAGATTGCTCTTGGGGGCTGGGCGGGCAAAATTGAGCAAAACAACGGCCTGTTTTTCACTCATTTCTGCCCTCCACAGTCCCCAGGAGAACTCTGAAAGCCTCCTACAGGCTCTGCACAGCCATTTTGGTGAAGTGGGCGGGGTTTCAGGAGGCAAAAAATGATGTATTCAGTGTATAAGATGCACCCAGATTTTAACCCTCTTTTTTGAGGGGAAAAAGTGCATCTTATAATCCGAAAAATACGGTAGTTGTTTCTTAGCTTAACTTCTAAAACAATGCATCATTCTATACCCGTGATGGCGAACCTATGGCATGCGTGCCAGAGATGACACACAAAGCCCTCTCTGTGGGCATGCGCGCCATCACTAGTTGCTCTTCTGGTTTCTGGCACATGCATGCGCATTGGCCAGCTGATCTTTGCGCATGTGGGAGCCCCAGAAACCCAAAGACCAGCTGGCCGGCACGCACATGCACAATTTCCGGGGCTGTGGTGCACACATTCACCAGTTTGGGCACTTGGTGCCAAAAAGGTTTGCCATCACTGTTCTATACCATCTGCCGTATTTTGCACTGCATTTTGGCTGCATTCTTCCCTGGTAAGAAAAACTACAGAATGTAGAATGTAGTTTTGGGAAGAAATATCTAGAGGGTTTGGTGTTAATCCCAACCTGAGCTTGCTGGGAAAGATCATTATACTTTCTAGAGTTGGGAGTGATCAATATGACAATACGTTCATAATCAAGTTATGTCCAGGCAATTATATATCGGAAGCATGTACTCTTCTACAGTGAAAAAGTGCATGTCTTATCCAAAAGTCACATCTCATAAATAACTCAAAATGAAAAAAAAAATCCTAATGTTTAATCAGAATCACTACCATTGTTGCAGAAAGAAGATGGGGAATAAAAAAAGACAGCTCTAGGAATCTGCCTCTTTGCAAGAACGTTAACTATCTTGGACTTTTTTGTAAGACACAGTAAATCTTAGTTTCAGCCAAAGAGACCTGAGGCTGTCTGGGTCTAAAATTAATTCCTTCTTAAACCTAACCATTGTCTGAGTTTGACAGTTCATACAACACACTTCCTATCCCAGTGCCTGACCCAGTTATAACATGCCATCTGTAGATGACCCAATTCAAATGGAACCTAACACCTCTCTAGAGTATAAGGCAAAGACTTTGGGAAGAATTAGGCCATAGCTGAAGGGATTGCATGAAAACAGACAATAAACTATCCAAACCATACAGAAACTGAGCTTTTAACTACTATTACACCCAACAAAAATGACAGGAGATTCAGGACAAAAGAAAAACATAATTTTCAGAATTTCAAGGTGACCGTGTAAGATGGCTTAAAATGGATTTTCGATCTGAACTAGTATATCTTTTATGTTCTCGGGAGCAGGAAAAAAGAAGAAACCATTCTTTTCAGTCTTAATCCAACACCATCTGGCAAAAGTCAAAGAAAGTGAGCAAAACTTCACAAGAAACTTTGAATAATCCTTTATGCAAAGGCCTAAATACCATTCTCTACACAAGCTGTATCAAAGTTTTTTTTTCCCTTCTAAGAAAGGGAAATAAAATACCAAACTGTGCCAAGGATCTAAATTTATTCTTGATATTTTCTGTTTTCACATTGTTTTTCAGTACCGTTTGCCTAGGCTCTTTTAAATTAAATCAAATAGGCTTAAGCATTCAGTTCATTAAAGAAAAATGCATATTCCCTTTAGATCTGAGAATTCATCATAGTTCAGAGATAAAACTAGGGTATAAAGCATTTCAAATGGATAGTCTTGGACAGTTTTGGAAATTGAGCAAAGCAGCTAATGCATAATTGCCTTTCCTAACACCTGCTACCTATTATAACTTTCCATTTGCAGCCCTTGAAGTTACAAGCAGATTCATCTTTAAATGTATAAAATGGCAGGCCAATAGCTAAAAGCTGCTTAGAAATCAAATATAAACAATGACCTTGATTTAAATATTTTAGCAAAAGATCTTAAAAACAGATGTACAGCCTTCCAGAAGACTTATTCTGAACATATTAGGCGTGACTCTTGAGTGCATCACCACAGAACCATCTGTCATCATCAATAAAAATCATTTAGATGGTTAACACCACAAATATCACATTGCCTTGCAAAAAGTTTATCGCTCCCCTGGATGAAATCGAACCCATTATTTCAGACTCTGCCCTCAAAAATCTCATGAATTAGTCATGAATCTAACTTGAGAGACAGAAGGAAGTATAGCAGAATGTATTACGTTATTACATTGCATCCCACCTCTTCAAAAGGAAATGTTATTATGAGGCTTAATGTTATTTTGGTTCATAATTGCAATAAAACCTACTGTTACACCAAGATATTTAGTTTAAAGGGTCAATTCCCAATTGCAGTAAAACATATACACCGATTTTCCCTTTCCTAAAAAATAAAATTTCAGAACCCAATATAAACAACTTAGCAACAAAATATTATTCTGATTCCTTTGTAGAANAGGTTGGTTCTCTCTTTGATAAACTTTACTTCTTGTACTGCCCTCAGGTGCTCTTGAAAATAGGTTGACCCCCCCCCCCTCTTCTCTGTGACAGCCCCTCAAATATTGGAACATCGCTATCATGTCAACCCCAGTCCTTCTCTTTCTTAGAGTAGGCATATTATCCAGTTCCTGCAACTGTTCATCATATGATTTAATCTCCAGTCTTCTAATTATCTTTGTTGCTCTTCTCTGCACTCTTTCTAGAGTTTCAAATCCTTTATTGTATCATGGACAGAGTATTCCAGTGCCGTATAAAGCAAGTGTTACTATCTAATACCTAGAACTGCATTGACTTTTTTGGCAGCTGCAGCACACTGCTGGTTCATGTTTAAGTGGTCGTTCATTAGGACATCTGGATCCCTCTCAGATGCTGCTGTGCAGATTCCACAGTGGGGACAATGCAGTACTTCCACAATATGGAATGTGCCAGGACTACTTATTAGATTTCAAGCCACACACAACAAACGATACGTTCCTTACTTCAAAGATTCAGCTTTGAAAATGCAACCTTTAAAAGTCAAATTAGAACAGCTGAGTCATAATTTCTTTGTAGCATTTTAAGGAACTCATGCTTCCAGGGAACTTTTAGACACACAGCAAAATTTATTAAATCTGCCTATACTGTATTTTGGGTAGTTAATATGTTTTAACCCTTCTTAAAAGCATCAAATTAAGAAATATGGCAAAAAGATGAGAAACAATACATTAAATGATTCATTCCATTTATTGCACAAATCTTATATACAGTGGAACATCGGGTCACAAACGCTTCTTGACCACGACGAAATTGGGTGCTGACTAAAAAATCTGCTAAACGTTTCACTCTGTTCACAAACACATCCTTGAGTGGCGATCAATCAGAGCCACAGCAATTTCCCCTTCCACTCCTTTTGCATGCGCAGTCAGTCTTGCTTCCAGTCACAATCAAATCAGGCGCCGACCGAAGTCCTGGAATGGATTATGGTTGTGACTGGAGGTTCCACTGTATATGTGCATCTTCTGGACGGGACAATACAGTGTGTGCAATCTAAGAAATATCCTATGGACATGGGATTTTGAATCTATTATCTGATCATTCGAAAGTATACAGACTAGGCTTAAAATAACAAACAACTCTTCAATTTGTGCTTTTAAAAGAAAAAAAAAAAGATATGAATGAATTCCTTCAGGATTGCCAGAGGCCAACAACTAAAAAAAGCCAACTAGAACTCCAGACAGGAATACAGTACACAGGGATTCCAAAAGTAACATAAAAGTAGTATTTACACACTACAACTGCAGAGGGAAGTGGATTGTCAGTTTTACAGGTACCCTCATGTCATCTGTTGATTCACTTTACAAGCTGCCCTTTTACATGTAGCCAATTTAGCTACAATATAGATAGTAGACTATCTTACCAAAGGTTTTTTAAAAAAAGTTAGAAGGAATTCTATTCTTGGTGGCTGGACAATTTTTTTAAAAGAGCGCAAACGTGCAAACCAGAGTCTGGCATTTCCTGTGTCAGATGAGAAGAGTACATCTTTCTCCTTCTGTCCTGGCCACTTTTTACAGAGGCCCGATTGAGAGCGTTTTAACAAACGGCATCACAGTTTGGTTTGGTGGCAGCAGTTCCTCAGATAGAAAGTCCATACAGAGAGTGGTAAGGACAGCTGAGAAGATTATAGGAAGCTCGCTTCCTGTTATTCAGGATACTGTTTATAAGTGCTATGTGCTTAGAACTCAAAGCATTGTTAGAGACCCTACACACCCACTTTATGGCTTGTTTCTCTTGCTCCGCTCTGGGAGAAGGTTTTGAAGTATTTCTAGCAGGACTACCAGATTCTGTAAAAGCTTTGTTCCCTATGCCATCTGTTTGGTAAACTCGCAAGATTCATTTTTCTCACTATGTACAGTACATCCGAACTAGACTGTGATGTTTCTCTGTGATATGCGGATATATGCATAATTTTGTATTTATTTATTTAGTCATGTTTATGTAGTGGAGGTGATGAGTCTTTGAGAGCTATATGCAATGAAATTTCATTTTAATGTATGCTGATTAGTGTACATTCAAAGTGACAATAAAGTTATTATAAGTCCAAAGAGCCTTAAAAGTTTTGAACGGTTGAATTTTCAATATTTCTGCATAAATATGACTTAAAATGAGATGTTTGCCACACGTATTAAAACTAGCCAAAGAGAACCTAATTAAAGAAGTTGAAATTATCCTTGTTCATTTGCTTATTAAGGAAAATGAGCCAAAGCTTTGTATTTGTATTTAGCAAAAGTATTCAAACTTCTATGACTATCTGTGTTCACTTGAGAGACCGCCTGCTGCCAATTACCTCCCAAAGACCCATTAGATCACACAGGACTGGCCTTCTCCGGGTTCC